AAGCCAATGCCAAGGCTCCCGCTCGCACGCTTGTGTGCCACAAAAAAAAGAAAAACAACGCGGCCAAGTGCAGTCCTGCACATCTCCAGCACTCCGAATGATGTTGCAAAACTCCTCCACATTGATTGCAACCAGCTTCGCAAAGCCTCAGACTAATCAATGTCCAGCATCAAAACATGCAAACACAGTGAATTTTCAACACATTGAGTGCTTTCAGTTCTTTCTGCTAGCGCAACTACAGTATATTGGAAGTCAAACAAGAAGGCATCTCACGTCACGTCGTGTCACGCCACAGCCATTTCAGCTGAGAAACTGATGGATGAAAGGTCGCCGACATGGGACCACTCCGTCCAAAGGCACATCTCAGAAATCCACTGCCGAGACACATCACAGGGGCAGTGCCCCGTCCGGACATAGCACAATGCACCATCAAGGGCAAAATAGGTTGCATCAGCTTCAAAGCCTGCGAAGCACTTGCGATGCATGGACCGCGCACGAGAAAGAATTGGAATGCGTCGACACAGGGGGCCGGTAAATCTGTGGTGCCAGTTGACCCAGTTGACCCGCTTGAACAGGGTGTCCCAGTTGACCTGGTTGAACCCAGTTGACTGTTGGGATGTGCAGGGTTCCGGGAGCAGGGCATGTAGGGCGAGTGGGGCAACTTAGAAGTCCGTATCTTCTATGGACGTGCAGGAGATACAAACATTTGGGCAAGTGGGGCAAGTACGTCAAATGGAGATAGGACAGGGCCAGAGGTACAATTGGGGCAAGTGGCAAGGGGCAAGAGACAGTTTAAAAAGTCCGTATCTTCTGCGGGCGCTTGGGAGATACAAACATACGAACGTCATTTTGGGGAAGGCCATTTGCCGCGCAGATTGCTTTCTTCTATTAATATAAGTAGTAGTAGTGGTGGTGGGCCCAGTTGACCCAGTTGACCTGGTTGAGCCCAGTTGACCCAATTGACTTTGTGCAATGGCAAGTGTGGTAGTGCCAGTGGTAGCAGCAGTAGTAGGTGGTAGCTGGTAGCTTGATGGGGTCAACTGGGTCAAGCGGGTCAACTGAGTCCGGAGATTTGCTGCAAGAATCTTCTGACATGTATAGCTTCTTGTTACTACTAGTAAGGCACTTGTTACTAGAAGCGATGCACTTGTTCCTAGTATATTGATCAAGCCTATGTTCTACATGATTATACATGCATGTGCTTCCCAACAACATGTTAACGCTTGGCAGCCGCTGCAAAACACCACATCATCTTCTGCAGAGTCCAGCACGGCAATTGCTCTCTGCGCCAATGTCTGCACAATCTGATCTTCTTGCGTGGACTCACCAGACAGCAGCTGCTCGAGGAAATTCATCTGGGAGAGGCAATCTCGGTATCGAGCGAACTCGAGCTCAGCCTCAAAGACAGCGTCGCAGAATACAAAGCGCAATCTTTAAAACCGTAGTTCGTTCGTGGTAGCAAGCAGCGGCAAGCAGTAAGGACATGGGTTGGAGTAACATTAAGTTTCCCTATAAAAATATTGGAACAAAATGATCAGTGCGAGCGCTATCCTGTGTCCTGGGTAGGACCGTACTTGTAGGTAGATGTAGGATGATGTAGGTAGCTACCTAGTCCCTACTAGCTAACCTCTACCCGTACCTACCTACCTCGCGGCCTGCCCCCCGGTGTTTCACTCTCAGGCCTGGAGCGATTTGGAGAGATAGTCCAGGATGTAAGGATCACGGGCGTTCTTCTCTCGCTGGTGGTAAGTGTACTGCAAGAAACGTGTGATTCGTCCACTGAGGTTTTCTGGGATATTGTTGATCCGCAAGAACCGGCGAAGTAGACCAAATTGTTGGGTCTCCTGTGATTGAAGGGCTTGTGGGCACAAAGGCCCCAAGAGGTCCACTGGGAGTCAAGAAGCAAAAACGAAGGAGTGATGCCTGAGAGGCTCCGCATGGCTGCGCAAAGACTTCGCCAGCAGGAACATCCACAAGCTGCTCGTTCACGAGAACTTGGGCAACAATGCCATTTACAAACAGTATACAATTCGGAGGGGATCAAGGAAATATTCCCAGTGCACTTTCGTGGCAGGCACAGCACTTTGTGAACCCTAGCGTGTAGATATCGTTTAGGCCTAGGCGCAGCATTTTGTGAAACTCAAATTGGACGTTGTGTGTCAAGCTAAATGTTTGGTGCATGTGTGCTCTCATATATGTGTGTCCGCTCTCTTATTGTTTTTTGAGTGCTGGCATGACAATAATGATAAGAAAATGAAACAAGAAAAGGGTAGCAGGGTGATGAAAGGAGCAAGCAAGGAAAGAAACCAAATGGTTAAAGGGGTCGACTTTTAAAGAGCCTTTTTTTTGGAAGGCACGATGCTTTGGAAGAAGCCCCCCAAGAATTCATTGATGCCCAGGGGCACTTGAAGGAGCTAGAGTCAGAGACAAAGAAGCGAAGAAGACCAAACAAGGGGACCAGAACAGGGAACCGGATTAGACGAGCCGGACTGGGATCAACCTATCACGAAGCCAGGGCAGAAAAAAGGCTACTGGGCGGAATTAAAATCCAGTTCGGAAAGAACAACACATGAACTACCAGTGCATGGACAGGTGGCGTCACTGTTTCATGGTGCTTCATGTTGTTTCAATGTTCTAGTGTGCCTTGTGAATAGCTGGGCGATGTAAGTTTGTCTTGCTGATATTGCTGCACTCACTTGTGAAATCTTGTAGGTGCCTTGGAGCTCTTGTATCAAGCATTCTTTCTAGAATCTTCAAGATGAAGTGGGAAAGTCGTTGGCACAGCCATTCATGGTCTCACATTCACGTTAGATTAGGGCACGCTAAGGAGTGAATTCAGATCAGTCTACATTGTTTGGTGTTTACCCCTTTTCGTTCCGTTGCATCTTCAAGAGCGCGCCTGTTCAAATCAGCCATGCCCTAACTTTGGCAGGACCTACATGAACCTGTCTAGTCTGGAGTCTAGTCAATGGTAACCTTGACTTGTAAATGGCACTCCTGAAAATTCTGATGCTTTTGCAACTGTCATACCACACTGTCAATTCAGAGCCAATAATAATTGTGTCCATGTCTATTCACCTCTCCTCCATCCGCTGACTTTGCAAAGCGCTCACCAAGGAGGTCATTGCACTGACAATCGTCGAGAATGTGACCTTTCACGGACGGAGGGTCTTCAAGAAGCTAATTACTAGCAACAAGGACGCTACTAGGGGCTCCTGGCATCGCTACTAGGAGCAAGTGCCTTAC